GAATCTCTTCTTTCTCAACGTCTGGATCGATATTCTTAATTTCCAAATCTACTCTTTCTTGGAGCTTTGCGACCGTGATATCATCGCCGAGTTTACCTTCTAGCGCCTTTTTTATCGTTTCCAGGTCCGCCATTGGTGTAAATTCCAATAGTAAATTGCCAGCTCTCGTTTGTCTCACTCCCTTCACACCTTCCGGTGCCGGCCCCACAGTCCTCTTAACCTTTTTTAGGACCTCCGCGAAAGATATACCGGGCTCGAAGCGTATTGCAATGGTTTGTGGTTTGTTCCTCTTCCTCTTGTTATGTAGGGGTACCCTTTCAACATGGGTGTGACACTTATTTTCCACCTCACCGCCGGTAGTTCCTTGCAGCGGGGAAGGTCTAATTTTCCTTCCTGTTTTTCTCACCAGTTCCCATCTCGGTTCTCCTAGTTCAGGGCTATCGACATACACCATTGGACTCCCGATCCTTGTTTCCACACTCCTGATCTTGGGTTTCGCTCTGAATGCTCCTGTTGTTTCGTTCGATTTTGTCCTTTTTTCAGCGTTTTCTTGCGTAGGGGAGATCTCCTTCCTTTTATTCCTCGTTTGGAGGGGGGGGGGGGGGGGGGGAATTCCTCATCCATAGTTGTTTGAGTGCCCGCTTCCCGGCGCTCATACACCTTCTCCTCCGACGCGGCCTCGCCTCTCCCCGTCACGTGTTCCCTACCCATTTTCAGATATGTACTAATCATTTTCTTTTTCTTTTCAGGTGCTGCCACCCTCGTCGTTTCCTCTGTCAGCATATCGTCCCTCGCCGTTCTCAAATCATCAATCACTGAAGTTAGTTTCTCCAGGCAGGAGTCCGATTTCTGGAACGCTGTCTCCATCATTGTATTCACAGGTTTGTCCTTCATCATGGCTTTTCGAATTACCGCGTTAGATTCCATCATAACTACCGCCAACACCACGATTACATTTAGGCACTGGTTTATCCGAACCTCCGGATCCCTAGCACGTCTGGGTAGATCCTCCACTGGGACCTCAATTATGGATTCATCCATTCGACTCGTGGAGCCCTTTCCTTTTGGGGCTCTCGGGCTCACTCTCACCTGTGGGGGGGGGGGGCCGCTCTATCAGGGAGGCTCTTCTGAATATTTCATTCTCCATGTTGCTGGAGAACCATGTTTCGACGTCCTCTACCGTCCTCAGTCCACCCTTGACTACGTCAGTAGCAGATGCTTTCGCAGGGGCCTGACGTTTAACCTCCTGCGATGCGCAGTCGCTGGTTGACGACTCGCGGGGGCCTGCACACACACCACCTGATGAGCCGGTACTGGAGTGTCCGGGATCTCCTGCACCGTAAGGTTTTTTATTATTTGTTGTGTTGTTCATAATTTTATTATTGTAGAATAGTCCAAAAGTATAGCCAGGTCGTCATAAAATCCATCCTATCCTCGCATTCAGGGTTCTTATAAAGCTCCTCACTTCCGGGGAGTAGTTTCTGTCCCTTGATCCACTACCATTGATCTTGACCATGGATCTTCACTCCCTTCAGCCCCCTTTTAGTCGCCTCTTACGACAGGCAGGGGATACCGTGGCCGTATTCTTTTCCCCCGAGCCACAAGGGAAACCTCACATAACCCTAACCCTAACCCTAACCCCAACCCTAACCCTAACCCTAACCTTTTTTTTTGTTATAGAAGAGGAAATGCATTTACGCACGCGCGGGATGATCCCCTTTCGTCTATTCGGCTAGAGGGGGCCTCATATCCGCCCTGTAGGGGCTGCCTGGCGCCCGTGAGGTGGGGGGCAAACCCAAAAAGGCAACCGCAGAAGGGGGCAACCTGGCAACCCGACCCTGAAAGGTTGGATTTAGCCCAAGAGTGGGTCACAGTCCAGAAGGGACTACCTTAAACAGGTAGTCCGGAAGGGACAGTCCCGCGGCTGGATACACTACCCACTAAAACCTCTCCCCTACGTGGGCCGCCGGTATCCTTTTTCATCCTTTGGGATATATAAGGGCTATCGGCGTGTAGCCACAACGGCGCTTTGGCAATTCAACGCATTTCGCATTATTCCGTCCTCCCTCAATCTGACATGCGCTAGGCAACCATGATAGATTGAGGATCCACGCCGCTGCACCTCCGATCAAGCGGTAGGACATTTTCAACCTGAGCATCAGCGCAGGAATTTCTCTTCAGTGACGACCGGCACGGGGCCTCCTCCTGGATCGTGCCTTCCCGCGTGATCGCCACCCCACTTCGCCTGCCTAGCACTTTGCCAGGACAGGGGTTGTTCTTCAGCACGGCCAGGACAGGGACATCATATTTCCACAGTTGACCGTGCCTGTCTTCGTCCACCTGGTAGGTTGCTGATGATGTGCATTATCCCTGAGGTCATCACGCCCGCCTGACGTTCCACAAGGACAGGCCATTTTTCTTCAACCACGATCGGCACCGGAGGACTTTCCCACTCAACGGGTGATCGGGTCGTGTGTTCTGCCTGCTGCGCAGGACTTGTTCTTCGACACGGCCAGGAACCGGGACATAATTTCCCGGTTGACCGTGCCATGTCTTGGTAGGCTGCCATCCTCGATGACTTGTTCCGTACACACGCCACACTACTCCCAACAAGCATAGCTTCGAATGTCCAAACAACCTAAGCAAGTAAAAGGAGGCATGCAGAATACCCATGAAGAAAGTAGGCACCTTGTCAATTGAAATCAGGTAAGACATTAGCGAATAAATCCGAGTTTAACTTCCAACCAGACTTCCAAGAATCAGCAAATTAATTGGCCGAAGGAACCTAATGGAATCCGGATGCATCCGTCATAATAGCATGATTAATGCATTAAGTGAGTGAAAGTAAAACACTGCACCACAGTGTGTAAATCCGATTCTACATAACCTCTGGAATCAGCAGCATAATCATCCGGACACCCATCAAATTCCTTAAGACCGCATGGCAACACAATAAAACGTACAACATATACGCATTCAAACAACCAATCCATATAAACCAAACTCTACCAAATTCCATTGAATCCATTATCTCCAGCATGCAATAAGGCCAATTAAACTACACTAAGACATATAGACACATGTCATGACATAATCATGTAATTACAGCAGGTACGGTGAAATAAAACAAGCACTTATCAAGTCATTTAATTTAATTTTAATTTAATTTCATTCAATATACCATATACCACCGCTAATCACCCCATTCATTTATTCACTCAATTATAATAATATAATAGGAGATAGGGAGTTATATCATACAATACAATTTATAATTTAGCACAAAATACTGACTAAGTATAACCTAATGTAACTGAAACAACAGAAATAACCGAATATAATCCAAAATCTGAAATAATAAATAGTAATATAATATATTCAATACTTTATTCAATACATAAATTGAAATTGAAATGAACGGAAATAGAAGGTAAATTGAATGTAATAAACATGAATATAAATGTGACCATAATATAAAATAAATAAATAATAATATAATATATTATAATTTACACAAAACGGAGTAAATAGCACCACTTTGAAACACATACACTGCAATGGAACACAATGCATCACGGTGGAGCGCGCATTTTCATCACAATCACCTTCACACCAATTAAATTTAAAATTTAAACTTAAATAGCAGAATTCAATAATTAACTTAGTTAACACTTCACATCACAGATCACGAACGAGTACATAATGCACAAATTTGCACAATACCCGGAAGGAAAAGCAAGGAGTAAACACGCGTCATCGATGACTATGTCAGCTAAGACTGAAGACCGGGCCAAGTAAAAGAGCGAGACCATAAATCATAAAGTATATAGAGATAGAACCTAGTGTTCATAAAATTCCCTAGTTCACTCCATAATGGTTATCAACCGTCAAATTAACCATCAAACCATCAAATTAAGTAATTATACAGAATATATAAGTGCTCATAAGCGAAAATGCATAAACAAACAGTTTGAACAAATAAAAAATGACCAAAACCCAAAATAATGTACCTACAAAAGATGACCATAAGCCGCAAGCTACGCCTAGTTGGTAATCAACCGCAGCACCAAAGATATTACCAGCAACAAATATTCCATTTACCAAACAATGATACTCGGCCGCTCACTCCGTAACGGCTATCCACAGCCAAATTATCTGCCGCGCAGTAGTTACCTACCACGCGCCAGTTACCTGTTACACAGTTACCGACTGCAGAACTGTCTATCGTGCTGCCGCGCAATCCTAGGAAACCATACTTACCATCAGACTTACCATAAAAGATAAGTCTGGCATACAATACTATAAACGGAAAGATATACTAAAATCAAAGGGATCATAGATAAACTTCCAGACGGGCCAACATCAGGAATTAATTAATTAATAAATAAGAAAATAAAGAAATAAGTGAATACTATGATTATAAATATATTACGTATATAAAACATCATATAAGTTTGTAATAAAATAAATAAGATAGAATATAATTATGATTAAAACGCATAAAGTAGCCTGACAAAATGTAAATCAATAAAATAGGTAGGAAAATAAAATAGTAATAAAATAAAATAATAGGAAAATAAAATCAACCCGGATAAGCCCCGCAGATTGCGCAGATTGCAGGACGCACAGCGTTACTGCATTATCACGTCGCAAAGAAACAAATTATACAAAACACAATGGAGATAAGGCCAAGGAATGAGAGGCCGAATAAATGAACCAAATAAGACCCTTAACCAGAGCAAAATCAATATCAAACGCGTATAGTCAGGAATCCCGTGGAACCAGTCAGACATCAAACAACACTGTCTAATAATATGAATTAATAAAATGAAATAAATGAAACCAAAATCGGATCAGGACAACAAGGCGACTAATAGAAAGATAATATGAAATGTGAGCCCGACATAATGCGTGACATAGTAAATAACATGACAAACGCGGTCAATAAAATAAATCGCAAAATTTAAACATTATACTGCCGTACCGTTTGTAAACAACCCCGACAAATTACATCGATACGACAGGTAAACACATGAAATAAATAGATGAATAATGAAAATAATGAAATATAAATCAATACCTATATGTATAATCGATTGAACCATAATTATAATTATAATTATAAATACATGCATTATGCAGGACCACCAAGAAGGTTGAATCAACCAATTAATTCAATTTATAAATAAAATACGAAGGCAAAGCAATAATATCCGAGAAAAAGTGAAACCAGCATAATAAGCAAAATAAATAAAATAAATAAAATAAAATAAAATAATGCAATAATGCAACGAACAAGGCCAAAACGTCCAAATGTAACTAACAAAATCATTCATCCCATTGAAATAGCGTATCATCAATTAATAATAAGAATAAATCTATTTAGCCAACTTATTCATTCAATTCTAATAATTTGCTAATTACCAATAATAAACAAAATATTATATTATATCTATAAGGAAGTTGCCAATAATGCCAATAATATTATAATGCAGTAATATAAATAGCTGAATGTGAGTTAACGTAGACTAAATTGAATAAATTGTGTGATCCCTACAGTGAAACAGGTCGCAAACATGCGTAATAGCCATGAGTGTGACAAAAGCGCACCTTATAATAAAGCATAGCCAGACAACTGCAGTATTAAAACATTCATTGAAACAATCATTGAACCGCAGAAACTTTACACCATGCCAACAGACACAGGGCATTGTAAAGAATAGAATTACAATTACAAGTTTCACAAAGTTACATCAATAGAAAAGAAGGAAAGTAAACTAGCAATTCAAGAAGACAATGATGAATGAATGATGATTGAATGATGAATGAATGATGAATGAATGAATGAATGAATGAATGAATGAATGAATGAATCAAGGAAGAGCGAACAACAGAACACCAGCAAGTATGGGTAAGGTAAAGTAGGATAAACCATAGAAAAGTCAAATTCAGAGATTGGATGACGAATACAATTATTTACAGAAACATAACCCTAACATTGGGCAAGATAGGAGGAAAAAACCCTCCTGCAGAACGCCATCTTGGGCTTCGCCCAAGAAAAGTCAAAAGAAAAAAAAATAAAATAACCCTAACATAACCCTAATGTGTCAGAGCCACAAAGTGTCAAAACTAGCATGCAAGGACTCGCTAAAGGAATTATCAATTAAGAGAGCTGAATTGCAACTCAAAAGGAAGAAAAGAAAAGAAAAGAAAAGGAAAGAAAGGAAACAAGGTAAGGTAACTGCAATAACATACTATAAAATAACAGGAATAGCCCATCCCGATGACATAAATATTAAATTCCTACAGACTCAGCACAGCGTCACACCATCACGAGAGAGCCATACCATTACCAGAGAGAGATGTCATGAATAAATTGAATTAAAGAATATCAAAGAAGAACATCAAAATGTCCAATGAATATCCAAGGATGTACAGGCGACAAAACAAGAATCAAGAAGTCAAAAGGCGATAATGGAATAAATAGCGATAACAGTGATAACGTGGCAGAATAAAATAAAATATAAAATAACCGAATGGAAGCAACCATAAATATATAAACATATTAATATTAATATCATCCGCAACACATTGTACCATCATGAATATAAAAATAAGCTAAATCATATCAATTACTTTAATTCAATTTGATTTGATTAAGAATGAATGAAAGAAAGAATGAGTGACAGAACAGTGAAGTAATTAATTAAAGATATTAAGGAAGAATGAGATAATAGTAAGGCATAAAGTATAAAGTGAAAGCCATAACCAAGAACATAATGTAAAAGAATGTAATGTAATGCAGTGTAATGCAATGCAATGTAGTGTAATGTAGTGTAATGTGAAGAAAATGAAAAATAATAAATAAAATACCAAATATAGGAATTGAACTGAACAGAATATACTGTAACCGCCAAAATTACTATTCACAACTACACAGCTATCCACAACTATTTCTTAACCAAAGTAGAGGTTAAACTTCGTCTTAGGGGACCAAAAATTAACGAGTCCAAAATATGTGTTCTTGTAGTTTTTGACCTGAAAAGTCCGAAAATGCAAGTTAAAAGTCCAGGAAACCAATAGTTTAAAAGATACGAGTATATAAAAATGTGTGTACTTGGCGTACTTTGACAGGACAGTACGATGTCACATTGACTCTTCCCCGCATCCAATCCTTTGTTTGGACTCTATTTGTTGGGTGTGAGTACCTTCAGTTCCTATCAAATCCGAGGGGATATTGTTTATAAAAAAAAAAACTTAACCTTAGGTATACCGGGTTTAGGCCACCACTTATATAATTCTGTTTTACCGACGGCGACTCCACTCATTGGACCAAATGGCGTCGTACTGACCTGTCAAAGTACGCCAAGTACACACATTTTCATGTACTCATATCTTTTAAACTATTGGTTTCCTGGACTTTTAACTTGCATTTTCGAATGTTTCAGGTCAAAAAGTATAAGATTTGATACTTTTCATCCAGAAATTTTTGGTCCCCCAAGACGAAGTTCAGCCAACTAAAACAAAACTGGAACTGAAACAAGAGGAACAATTAAAAACACAACCCGGAATGTCCAATTTATTTATTTATTAATCAATTAAATTTATTTAAGCACATGTCACTGCTGCATCGTCGTGAAAAGACCAAAATGAAATATGTAAGCCACAATATGAAAAGAAGTAAAGGAATAAGGAATAAATACGATGAATGATATAATCGAAAATCAAGAATCGAGAGAACAAGAAAAGTAAACCGCGTAACCGCATAAACCACGTAACCACGTAACCAATAAACACGTTAAATACGTTGCACCACGGATATGAATCGATGAAAATGACAAATAGAATAAAATAAAATAAATAAACCAAACAATAAGCCGAACAACCGGATGACAAGCGGACTACGTATTGAATCACAAAATAAAAGGAAATAAATAAATGCAATACCCGTAATGACGCGAAAGACATGAAATAATATGAACCATGAGATATGAAATATGAATGTAGATGGTAAATAAAATAAATAAAATAGAATACGATGGGTAATGAAATAAATAAAACGAGACAGCAATGTAAACCGCGTAAACCATTGTAACGTGAAACGTTATCACGTGAATATGTTTAGAGTGGTGTGGCGACACTGCCATGAGAATATTTATCGATAGTCTATTATATCGATATGTCTTGAATGTTCTTCGAGGACCTTTGTATCGCTGGTCATAAATTAAGAGCGAAATTCGAACATCGTCTAAGCATACCCTTATATAAATAGACAAAGAGTAAATTGTAAACCCCTCGACGTGGGTGATAGAGCTGAGAGAAGGCCGGAAGTCCAGAGAATGGAATAGTTTCACTTGGAAAATTCCTAAAAAACTAATTTATGATAGACCATAGCTAATTCGTTGTTTTCGACCAAGTCACGAACGGTCCTTAAGGGTTACGAAGTCTTTTTCGATATCCTGTCTTTTCATGCACTCTAAGAGGGTCGTAAATTTCCTCAAGAGTTGCTTTGGCAAGTAAGTACAAGGTCTTGTCGTTTCCTAATTTCTCTGGGTCCCACGCTTTCTCTTAGCACATGTGCGCTGCAACGTTCTAGCGTCTTGGCGGAGCGCCTCCACTTCCACGCGCTTGAGGGTGGACCACAGCCAGGAGAAGGGGCCCACACGAGACAGGGTGGACTCCTCCACCATTGGACGAGGGATGATCCTGAGGGAGGATCTAGGATCCACCAAGGAAGGGGCATCGACCGACAACGCGCGAAGATCTCCTCCGCCAAGCGCAGAATTGTCAGAATGATTTTTGTTACTCGTTACGAACAAGTCGTTCTCACTCAGAAGGGTCTAAGCCTTAACAACGCAACTTTAAAGTTCTGATTTTAATTTGAAATACCAAGTATTAAAGTACTAAAAACAAAAATTACAGTTTCTTATTTTTGTAAATCCGCGCCTTGAGAGCGGAGCGCCTCTGCGCTCCACGGACTGTCACACCTGCACCTAAATCCCCGAAAATCCCTATTTTCCGCGACGGACACGCAACACCATTAACACATTGTAACGTGAAACGTTATCACGTGAATATGTTTAGAGTGGTGTGGCGACACTGCCATGGGAATATTTATCGATAGTCTATTGTATCGATATGTCTTGAATGTTCTTCGAGGACCTTTGTATCGATGGTCATAAATTAAGAGCGAAATTCGAACATCGTCTATGCATACCCTTATATAAATAGACAAAGAGTAAATTGTAAACCCCTCGACGTGGGTGATAGAGCTGAGAGAAGGCCGGAAGTCCAGAGAATGGAATAATTTCACTTGGAAAATTCCTAAAAAACTAATTTATGATAGACCATAGCTAATTCGTTGTTTTCGACCAAGTCACGAACGGTCGTTAAGGGTTACGAAGTCTTTTTCGATATCCTGTCTTTTCATGCACTCTAAGAGGGTCGTAAATTTCCTCAAGAGTTGCTTTGGCAAGTAAGTACAAGGTCTTGTCGTTTCCTAATTTCTCTGGGTTCCACGCTTTCTCGTAGCACATGTGCGCTGCAACATTCTAGCGTCTTGGCGGAGCGCCTCCACTTCCACGCGCTTGAGGGTGGACCACAGCCAGGAGAAGGGGCCCACACGAGACGGGGTGGACTCCTCCACCGTTGGACGAGGGATGATCTTGAGGGAGGATCCAGGATCCACCAAGGAAGGGGCATCGACCGACAACGCGCGAAGATCTCCTCCGCCAAGCGCAGAATTGTCAGAATGATTTTGTTACTCGTTACGAACAAGTCGTTCTCACTCAGAAGGGTCTAAGCCTTAATAACGCAAACTTTAAAGTTCTGATTTAAACTGAAATACCAAGTATTAAAGTACTCTAAACAAAATTACAGTTTACTATTTTGTATATCCGCGCCTTGAGAGCGGAGCGCCTCTGCGCTCCACGGACTGTCACACCTGCACCTACATCCCCGAATATCCCTATTTTCCGCGACGGACACGCAACAACATGAAAAAGCGATATTAACCACTGATATTAATATATATAGAACCAAATAGAACGGTAAATACGATAAATACGATAAGACGATAAATAAATTGAACAATTAAATCACGCAGAGGGACGTAAATTGCGCAGGTTTATTAATCACACAATCATACCGTTGCGAATAAATAAATAATAAATAAAAGACAACAATGAGATAAAATGAAATTACGGTAATAAAATAAATAAAACAAATAATGAATATAACGTAAGTTGCATAAATTATCAAGGCACACTACCCCACTGTACCATAATAAATAAAATAATATAAAATAAATGAAACAAATAACGCAAAGTAGCACAAAATAATGTGAAATATAAATATATAAGTATAAACGGCAAAGGAAAAGTAAAATAAAATATAGAACACTGTAGACAATGAAACAATGAAATAATGAAGCGAAACATGTAAAATAAAAAGAAATGAAGATAAATGAAGATAAATTATGTAAATTGATAAACGCGTTAAAATAACAATGGAAAATAGTGGAAATAATAAAATACGACGAATAAATATGCAACACCGGATAATCGAATAATCGAAGCGATTAATCGAATGTGTTAATAAATAATAAATAATTAAATAATACAGCGGAATAACGCGCCAGTCAAACGCATGCAACCAGATAGTAAAATAAAGTAAATTAATATTAATAATACAAATAACGATGAAATATCGAAAAATATCGAAAAAAATCGATGCACTTTTACACAAATCACTTAATAAACCGACGCAATTAACGGAAAACAAAATAAAATCAGAATAAAATTAGAATAAAGGAATAAAAATAATACGTCACCAAACCGTTGACCTAATTTCCCATCGTCTGTCCTCTTCTATCCAAGGCCCGAGCCGCGCGTGCATCCTAACCCTAACCCTAACCTAACCCTAACCTAACCCTAACCCTAACCCTAACCCTAACCCTAACCCTAACCTAACCCTAACCCTAACCTAACCCTGACCTTTTTTTTTTATTTTTTGTTTGTAGAAGAGGAAATGCATTTATGCACGCGCGGGATGCTTCCCCTTTCGTCTATTCGGCTAGAGGGGGCCCAGGCAGTGTGGGACTCATACCCGCCCTGAAGGGGCAGCCTGGCGCCCATTTGGTGGGGGCAAACCCAAAGAGGCAACCGCAGAAGGGGGCACAGCCCAGAAGGGGCGGCCTAGTCGGGTAGTCCGGAAGGGACAGTCCCGTGGCTGGATATACTACCCACTAAAACCTCTCCTCTACGTGGGCCGCCGGTACCTTCTCATCCTTTGGGATCTATAAAGACTACCGGCGTAAGCCACAACGGCGTTTTGGCAATTCAACGCATTTCGCGTTATTCCGTCCTCCCTTGAAACGCCATGCGCAAGGCATGGGGCATCGCGAATCCGCGCCGTTGCACCTCCGATCAAGCGGTAGGACCTTTCAACCTGAGCATCAGCGCAGGAATTTTTCTTTAGTGGCGACCGGCACGGGGCCTCCTCCTGGATCGCGCCTTCCCGCGTGATCGCCTACCCCACTTCGCCTGCCTAGCACTTTTGCCGGGACAGGGGTTGT